CGGCCCAAGCCGCGGGGCTCCGAGCCTGGCCGCGGTGGAAGGCAGGCTGGGGGTTATTCAAATGCAAAACGGAGTTTGTTGGCCGAAAAAGCGAAGAAGTCCGGTCTCCCTGGCTGTGCTGGAGCGTGTTTGAGCTGCAGCAGCCAGAGCCTGCCTGGAAAAACCCGCCAGGCAAGAGAAACTGCCTGCAGCTTGCGTGGAGGACAGGGAACAATTAAAAGGGACCCTGCCCGGCCGTAGGGGCCCCCGGCCAGCCGGAAAAACCCCGCAGCCCCCTCCCACCGCCCCATAGGAGCGGCGAGCGAGGGCTGTGCAGTATCGCCCTGTGGAGGTGCCGCTGGTGTGCGGGGCTGGGGGGAGCATCCCCGCGGGAGCTTCCTCGTCTTTGCCGCCGGAGAAGCCGGGCGCGTCCGGATGGGCGCTGCGGGTCCCCAGCGCCGCCGCTGGGGTCGGCCCCATTGTCTGCAGCCCCGGGGAGGGCTCCCCGGGTTGGGGGGGCACGACCAGCGGCGGGGCCGGGCCACGAGGAGCCGCTGCCTCCCCCCCAGGAGGCTCCCCCTGCCTGCCCCTTCCTCCCTTGGGGTCCGCCTGCCTGCGCTAAAGGAGGCAGAGCCCTGCAGGGTTATGGGCGCTGAGTGCTTGTCCAGCTGCTCTTGGAGCTGGGGGACGAGAGGTGGTGGTCTCACGGCAGCTGGAGGCTTGGTGCTGGCTGGAATGCTCCCTGCCGTGCTCCTGAAAGAACCAGAGGAGTTCGCCGAATGGCTGAGGAAAAAGGACGAGGCGGCCTGCTGGGAGGCAGGAGCAGCTAGAACCTTACGGAGGTATGGCTGCTGGCTCCCGAGGAGAACAGGATGGGTTTGCGAAGGGACCAGGCGCAGCAGTAGTCAAAGGAGACGCGCCAATTGTGTGCCCAGCCTGTCCTACACTCAGCCAGCCTATCCTGCTGCACCCCAAAGATATTTAAAGAGCAACGTAGTCAGCATCACTTGTATATCGGCCTACGTAGCAGCTAGCCAGCGTGGAGAGATTGCTACTCCTTTAAGGAGGAGAGGGGACTGTGCGCACCAGTGTCACTGGAGTTAGGCTGCTCCTGTGAACAAGCTGGCCAGGGTGGCTAAAGAACTCTTACTCTAGAAATTATAATACAATAATGGTAAAATGGGCGAAGATCGCAGCATTAGGGATTTAAACGTGACTGAGTGGATTTCTAAGGAGGAGGTGTCTCTTTAAATTTTCAAGACAATGGAAAAACTTGTGGAAACGATGATAATAATAATAATAATAGTAATCTTCCAAATAATAATAGTTCTCCCCGGCTGTGCTCCGTGTTTTTTTTAGGTACTCTTGTGGAAAGGCAGAAAGCTATTCTGTGGTTTAATTACCCTGTTTTCATTATGTCAGTCTACACGAATTAGGAAAACAGATTGAATTGGGAAAATTTAGCGTTTAGTCTTGGTCCGGGCAGGTTGCCTGGTCGACCCTAACTGTAAAGGAGGAGAAAGCTGGTTTATGCTTTTCTGAAGTAGTTGCTCTGCCAGCACAAGGGGTGTTTGTGGTGGTTGCTCTTGGGTTGAGGGTCAGTCCCTCAAGATAAGAGGAGTTTTTTGTGCTTGGAGGAGACAAGAGCAGACTGAGTTGTGCAAAGCAGGTAACTGGGGAAGAACTCAAGGTGACATATACCAAGGGACTTTGGTATTCATAACCAAACCATTCATTCATGGTTTCTGTAAGACCTAATTCTTCACTGTGTAGTAATTAAAAATCTTCACTAGTAGTGTTTTATTATGACTGGCATGGTACCCTTGGTTGTTGAAGCTAGCCTAAATACTTCCATCTTGCTTTCTGTTTTCAGATACTTAAAATTTCGAAACACCTTTTAGGCTGAAATTTTCCAGGCTTAATCTTTGCCTGAAGGCTCTTCCCTCCACCTCCCCCTTCTTTTAGCTGAGTTTGAGATAAGGTGATTCAGTTAATGGTGGGGGTTTTTTGTTGTCGTTTTTAAGAAAAGGCAAAATTCCCTGAAGAATGGAGTCATATTATCAAAAAGAAATGCAGTGTTTTAAACAGCATAAATGCAAAATTAGAGGCATATGATGAACTGGGGTGTTCTGTTTGATTTGCCTTCTTTTTTTTTGTATTCAAATATATCTGGAGTGTTCTGGTGGATGGGTTTTTTTCTTCGATGAGCCTTTATAATTTATTTGATATATTTTTACTTTTTAGCATTTCCCCCTGTGAAGATCAGTGCTTGGCTGCACTGCACATAGGTTCAAGTAAGCCTGTGCTGCTTCTGCCTG